GATACCCTCGGAACTCGTTTTGGAATTCAATCGTTCTCAAAAGGACGAAGGGTTTGACCTGAGCGCTCTGTTACAGTTCCTACACTTAGAAATCCGTAGTAGGGAACGAGCTTCTCAAATAAACAGTCACAAACTATGTCATTATTCCCCTCTACCGCAAGACAGAACAAAAAATAAAGGCTCCTATTTCCTCGGACAACGCATGAAGCCACCCCTGAATAGAGTACATTTCGGAGCACATTCATTTCCCACCCCTTTGGAGAAAGTAGAATTTAGAAGCCGAAAATGCTTATACTGCAACAAAGGTCATGAACTCGACACTTGCCGTTCCTTTGGTGCTCACGAAAAGCGAGAAATTTTAAGGAAGAAGGGCTGTTGTTTTTTATGCTTGTCGCCCGGTCATAGAGCAATGGAATGTATGAAAGAGGAGTCGTGTCCTATTTGTAATGGATCCCACCATTTCTCAATATGTTTTCGGAATGGACATGATGACGATTTGTCTCCGAAAAGGGACACTGATAATATAGTTTCAGTAATTAAAACAGATTCTGAGGACATTTTAACAATGAGTGTTATTGTTAATGAATCCAATATTTCTAAACAGCTTAGTGAATTTTGGAATTTAGAGAACTTAGGAATAGAAGCAGAGAGAGGTGTCCGATGAGGAAAATATTGATAATGATATAATGTCTGAATTTGAAGCGGGAATTTCATACCAAAATAAGCGGTATAAAGTTAAATTCCCTTGGAAACCTAACATGAAAACATTATTAGAAAATAATGAAGAAGTTGTTAGGAAAAGATTTCTAAAGTTAAGATCACGTTTTAAAAATGACAGTTCCTTATTTGAGGATTACAAATTAGTTGTAAATAATTATCTTTCTGAGAAAATCATAGAACGTGTTCCATTTGAAGAAGAAAATCTAAAGCATAATATTTTTTATCTACCACATAGAGCAGTAATACGTACTGATAAAACTACAAGCAAATTGCGAATCGTATTTGATGCGTCATCACATGCGAAATCACAGCTATCTTTGAACGATTGTTTACACACAGGGCTAAATTTTATACCTAACCTATTTTTTCTATTAATCAAATTTAGAGTGAATCCAATTGCATTTGTAGCTGACATAAAAATGGCATTTTTGATGATTGAGATAGACGAAAGTGAAAGGGATTTTACAAGATTTTTCTGGGATGAAAATCCAGGAATTGATTTAGAAAACAAACGGCTTGATATTTTCCGAATGACTAGGGTTTTATTTGGAGTAAAATCAAGTCCATTTCTTCTTGCAGCTACGATAAAGCATCATCTTAAAAAATATGTGGATATTTTTCCTGATACTTTTAACCATCTTAACCAGTCATTCTATGTTGATTTTCTGCGTGGAAATGTCAGTGTCCAAGCAGCCTTGACGACCTGCATAGAAAGTAAACAAATTTTGGAAGATGAAATGGAGAACCAACTCTTCCGAGCTAAATCAAAGGTTAAAAAATTTAAATTTTGAAGTAGATGAACATAAAGAGTCATTGAACACGTTGATAGCTTCAAAGGTCTTAGGAGTTGGTTGGAATGAAAAATCTGATACATTCTATTTTGATTCCAGCGATTTAGGAACATTTCTTTCTAAAAGAATTAATACAAAAGGATATTTGTTACAAGCCGCAGGTCGATTATTTGACCCAGGAGGTAGATTGAAACATTCGACCCTATCTGAATTCCAAAAACATCAAATGATGTTGCCAAAGGCAACGAACTTCAAGGGAGCAAGAAACATTCTTAATGAATGGAACGAAATTTGCAAGTCCAACAGAATTCAACTATTCAGCGCGGAAGAGGGAATCGAATGGAACTTCATTCCACCCGCTTCTCCCCATTTCGGTGGATTGTGGGAAGCAAACATTAAGTCCATGAAACGCATTTTATTGAGGGTAGCGAAATCAGCTATCATGAACTTCGAAGAGTTAACTACGTTGATGACACAAATCGAAGCAGTTCTGAATTCACGTCGCTTGTCTCCACTTTCTTCGGACCCCAATGATCTTAACCCTTTGACCCTGGGGCATTTCTTGACGAACTGTGCAATTTCATCCTTTCCTGAACCCTATACTGCTTCGGATTCTTTGTCCTATCATTCCAGGTGGAAACTCGTTCAATCTCTGAGAGACAAATTTTGGAACCGTTGGAGCACCGAATATCTGACCCATCTGCAGACCCGTGCTAAATGGAGTGAACAGAACCCTATCCTGATGGGGAATCAGCTCGTTCTTTTAAAGGATCCCAACACCAAGCCCCTGGACTGGCCTATGGGGCGTATTCTTGAAGTATTTCCCGGTAGTGATGGTCTTGTAAGAGTAGTTAATGTGAAAACCTCAACAGGTATTTTAAAACGAGCCATCACAAAGGTAGTGCCTTTACCTATTCCAGTTGATCCTGCAACTGTAGAGAAGAACAATTGTGTGAACACATTTTACAATTTCTTGAACTTTAACTTTATATTATTCTATTTACATAATTGCTAATTTGATTTTCAGTATTATTGATAACTCATGTGATTTAAGAATTGCTAATTTTATTTCAGAATTATTGATGATGAATATGATTTGAGAATTGAATTTATAGGATTTTATTTTTATTATTTCCCATTGCATGAATTTTATTTGTATTATTTCACATTGCATGAATTTTATTTGTATTATTTCATTTTGCATGAATTTTACTTAAATTACCTTAGAATTTGAATTATCTTAATGTAAACTCCGCAGGAGTTTAAGTGGGGAGTAATGGTAGAACCCCCTCAGTATAGAGGGCGCTGCTTGTAATAACATGTGTTGTTGACACCAGAGATCTTCTGTACGTGACCGAGTGCAGACGCACTCCATATTCCATTAAACTTATTATTTAATCTTACACTTGTATTCGATGATTTATTGAAATTAATTGAGTCTAACGGATTGTGATGATATGAAAGTTGATTGATATAAAAGCATTCTACCACTGATTAACTGAACCATCGATGATAGTAGCAGTTCCTTTTTTGTAAAAATATTGTACTTAAATCATTTTTCATTGTAACAATTTTCTTAAAACAATTTTATACACGTTTTTTAATCTAAGTGACACTAAATGTCATAAATATTATCCAATTATACGCTTTTGTAAAATCACGGTTCCGAACGTAGTCGGATACCTTAAGCAGTGCTCGCGATAGACTGCCAGTATTCCTCGATAAATGTCCGGATTAAACTCACCTCCTGAAATCAGAAACCATACTACTACACTCTGTTCCGATCTGGTTGCATCCATGTATGGTATGACTACTTTCGATCTATTTCCTCAACCACGTTCTGGTGTCATTTTTGGATGCCATATGCGATGTACACTTCTACCGTCCTCTGTGTCCCTGTTTGGTGACTCTGCTGTAGGTTAAGGATGGCTGTTCTTTCCGAAAAAGATCGATTTTTAAATCGATTCGAATCGTAACCTGATGAATCGATTCAAAAAAAAATAGAGGTCTACAAGATCGATTTCTAAAAAATCGATTTTTTTTCAAGTCTGCATTTACAATATAAATATAAATCTATTTTATGAAGAACAAGAAAAATGCCACAATAAAGGATCTCTTATCAGTAAAATCAGAGATTTTTTTAGTAGGGAATTCGACAATTTTATAATTATTTTTATTACCATGTCAAAGTATCAATAATAAAAGAACACATTTATTTTCTAAATGTATTTGTTACATTAAAAAGTTTAGAAAATATATTATTTAGCTTATAGTTCCCAATGCTTAATATCTAAACTTTTTAAAAAACAACAGTCTCGAAAGTCTACTGTGATCCAAGCGGTTCCGCACATCACTTGCTATGTTCCGGCAATCGAAAAAAGGCGCTCACAAGGAACAGATGATCCCAGGATACTCATATAAATCATGGTTTTTGAGTGAACGTGATGATAGATAGAGTTTTTCTGTTCTTGCCAGTAAAGTATAGGATCATACTTCAGGTGCACAACTGCCTGCGATAAATAGTGTTTAAATTCTTCGTTTTCTTATGGTTTTTGCCAACTTTATGGTTTTTACCAAAACAGAAAAAAAAGCGAATGTCGATTTTATAGGATGAAATATCGATTCACTGAATTGATTCAGTGCTACATATCGATTTAAAAAAATCGATGTTTTTTTTTTTTTTTTTTTTTTGCCCGAGAAAGGGATTTTTCGAATAATCGATCTCAGATCGCCATCCCTACTGTAGGTGCACTCATTCTGACGCAATCGCGTGCGTCCACTTTTCATTTGGGCAACCCTCATAGTTGCACTATGGTATGGGAATACAAGTTTGGAATAAAAAAAACTTCACTTTATTGAAAATATAATGAATAAGAATGTTTGCTTTGACGTTTAACAAAAAACAAAATCTAAGAATTGGGAATGGCGTTTTGTGAACAAAAGAAATTGAAATTAAACAAGTTATATATATATATATATATATATATATATATATATATATATATATATATATATATATATATATATATATATATATATACTGTGTGCCTACTTCCTACTTTTAGTTATCTTAGGTTTATAACTATATGACTATTTTTATATTTTTGTTTATATGTATATGTATATGTGTGTATAATTTTATATATATGTGTATGTATATGTATATGATTATATATTAAAAATTCTTATATTGGATTATATATATATATATATATATATATAATTAGGACAATTCCTACTTAGGTCAACAAAGAAAAATTTTATTTTATAGTTATTTTTTATTAAATAATGACAATTAATATTTATACATAGGGCATATTCACAATATAAAGGGACAAAACATAAAGCGATTTTCCTTGATATTTTCCTTTCTATATAGGATGTTGGACTATTCTTTTTTTTTTTTGTTACTATTTATTCATTCATTAAATTTAATTATTCTTATACAATAATATAGTAAAAAAGGAATCACATTTTCAGAAACTAGTCCATTCCAGGTGGGATTCGAACCCACGACCATTGGATTAGATGTCTAACGCGCTGTATCTTGCGTTACAGGAACACAACGAACGATTTTCCTTTCTATATATGCTGTTGAACTATTATTTTTGTTTGTTATTACTTATTCATTTTTAATTTAATTAGTGAATTAATATTTGAAAAACTACTAACAACAAGTGTCATCCACTACAAATTTTAAGAAAATGTAGAGTGTGAAATAATATTTGGAATTGAGAAAAGCATAAGAGGTTTCCAAGTAATAATTTCAAAAAGATTTCTCGAAGAATGGATGAAGATTTTACAACATTTCTTAAGTAAACTGGTAAATTTTATGCCAATACAGAAAGCAATGAAAAGGAAAAATTGTTATCCAAATATTTAAATAATCTCATTACTCATATTTTAAAAATTTCTTTAAAAAACTCTTGTTTTCTTTATGAAATTTGCCTATACAATGACGATCAACGTTTTATAATTTTGTTGTTGTGTGTACTTTGAACTTGTAATTTAAAAGTCAAAAAAGGGAAAACGTTCCCAATAAATTTAATGCTATGCAAGAATTAAATATATCATTTTTTCAAAAAATAAATGAATCAATATTACTGTGAACATGTGTATAATTGCCTAATAATCGCAAAACTTTTAGCAATTTAGGTTTTAATCTTTTTTTTTTAAGATGTAAGATTTAAGATGTAAAATATCTTTTTAAAAAGTTGTCTTGAGCTTAATTTTGTGATAAATGAATGGTTAATACTTCTATAAAATCCAATTTCATTTCGAAAACCTCAAATTAAAAAAAAACTGATTGAAACCTGTCACAAAGATTAGGTGATTGTCTTGATATGCACATAAACCACATTTAATTAAATTATGTTTAAAAGATTATGTTATTTTACATATATATATATATATAAGTCGAATTTCAAAGCATGCTAGTATTTCTTTGGAGAAATAGGTATCCTCCAAATTAACTAACTTTTATACCAACTGCTTTACTCTCACTTAATATTTTAATAGTTTTCAAATATTTATCCTTCTAAGTATTTTTTTCGATGTATGATTCTCTAACATGTCCCTAATTGTAATTAAAATTTGGAATTGTATTTTTATTTACCTTCTTACTCTTGCTTCCTGAAACCTTTTCAACTTAATTAACGACTCCATTAGGTGTAAGATATTCATAAATAACAATAGTTTCCTCTGACTGAGGAATCTCATATTAGGGGTCTACCATTCATTCTTAAATTTCCAAAAAGTTTTTAAGTTTATCGTATTTTGTAAAACTAATCATATTTTTATTCGGTTTTGCAGAAGCCGCTGATGGGGGCTGACCAAAGGGCAACCTGTTGCCTGTGCTGTCGTAAAGGTGTGGTGAGTGTCCGTAGCAACCTTGAAAGGTCAGCATATTGTTGCGGAGAGAGTATCCGGCTCAAAGCGGACATCGACAACCAGAGCGATGAAGTCCTCAGGATCAAGCTCAAGCTTGTACAGGTAACTATTTCTCTTTGCTATAGTTTAACTCAGGATTGGGCTTAAACTGTGTATTGTTTTGTACAATAGCCTATTCTGCCATCTAGTGGTATACTTGGAATGGGATTAAAGAGTTCTAAAAATATCTTTCCCAATATGAGTTTCTCTGAATGGTGAAATTCTTAAGTGTTTTAATTTTTATTCGAAGAAATCGAAACTCAATGCCTTGAAAATTTCTGTTGGCATTAAAAAATTTGTGCAAGACATAATATTATCTTCTTTGTCTATGTGTATAGAACAGAGGTGAAATCTTAATGGATCAACGTGCCATTTTTTTCTAATGAAGTGTTTAATGAGGTATAGACGTGCCATCCAATAATTTTTACTTGAGATTATTGGGAAAATAATAAAACTAAATACTAACAAAAAAACACAAAACTCTTTATTTACTAAGAAAAATACCTTTTGCACTGTATAGTTGTAAATGTTATACGTGTAATTCAAATTAAAGTAAACATTAGTAGGACTTCTGTTGTTGCAGATTGGATGGAAAATAACTTATATTAGGATTGTAACATGTTACTTTTAGTAGAATGCATGCTGAATGGAAGTCATCTGCCAAACGGCTTCTAAGCAATTATTTTTGCTGTGGTTCACTTTTTTGACAAGAGGATTTGTGATTTGTTTCAAAATACTGTTTTACAGATGATGCTCTGCATACCACCAGTCCAGAACATAAAACACACACCCCTTTTTCGCCTTTACTAATAATGCCATATATTTCTAGATTCATCAAATTTGAAATTCTCTGTTGCGCTTACTATCTTTCACTTTTTGTTCTTTTGCTGAACTAGCCATGCTAAATAACAGTCAAAGATCGTAAATATAACACAAATAATTTTTAAAATACTGTTGAGTCAATGAAATTGACTATGCTATGTGTAAACAAACTTTGCATCATTAACAATTGTAGTCTACGAAGTAACTAAGACTACAAGACAATGACGAACAAGTGTGCGCCCTGCAGCCCCGCGACCGATCACTTGTGATTGTCCGTAATACTTCATAGTGAACTTGGTTATTTTGAAATAAAATGCAAACCATTTTGATTGCTGGCATGCCCAAAATATTGTATCGCGTGCCATCAATGACACGCGTGCCACTAGTTCGCCATCCCTGGTATAGAGGATTGAAATTTTTTCTTTTAAAAGGAAGTATGCTTCAAAAAGCCAAAAAATTTTAAAAAGGGAACTTTATTCATAGTTAGAGTGATTATATAAAGTTAATTTCTAAAGTGCTATACCTCTTCATATTTAGGAGAAATTCCGTATCATTTTTACTATTTAAATAACGTACAGCTTAGAGAATTTAAATTGCAAATCTTGGATTGGCTCACCACACACATACGTGAGTTATATTACCCCGTCTATGCCGTCAAAAATACCAAAAGTAGTTTATAATTGCGAAAAAGGTTAATGATTTAAATCTAAATGCATTCAGTTTTTTTGTACTGATTTTAACACTTAACAAAGTAGTTGTTACAAATAGTGATTGAGCAAATTGATCACTTACCTGTTTGTTATTCAATCATTTGATTTAAAGCAACTTTTTTATGACACAAAAATTATGATAACAAGTTTATTTTAGTACTATGATTCTTTGATAGAAAAGGAATTTAACCCATTTTATAAAAATTGTGCATTTATTTTTTTTTAATGTTTATGCAGGATATAGACTTTTGACCCAAAGCTTTTATTTAATTTCCATTTTTCAGAATTAAAATAAGATAAAAAATATCTTGAGCAATATTACTATGAGGAAATTCAAATTTTGTCAACATCAGCCTCCAAAAATCAATTTTTGCAGAAAAATGGAAAATTCTATAAATACTGTAAAAGATAAATTGACCAATGTGGCGATTATTCTCTCTCTAACTGTGGAGTTGCTCTTTTCAAAATCTAATATATATATATATATAACAAAATAAGTTTATTTTTTAATACATTGACTTACATTTAAAAATAAAAAAAATTGTCTGGGGAATGGAATTGAAACTCCAAATTTTTACCAGTATAATTATCTATATTTAATTAAAATTCCACAAACGCGCTCTCTTGCTGAGATTAGAAAATTCCTTAGCTTAGAATATGGGTCATAATTGAGAATTACAAGGAAATTCATCCTTTCAACTGTAAACTAAAAGTTCGAAATAAATGTATTAAGTTCTAAAGAAATTTTTAATCGCTTTTATGCAAACCTTATTTTGGGGAATCTGTTTCATGGGAGTGATTTAACATATAAAAATTTACGTTTCAATATTTTGGAGACTAGCTATCTTGATAAAAGTATAAAATAAGATTTATAAAATAAGAAATCATTAAAGAAAATAAAAAAAAATGATAAATATCCAGTTGCGGATAAATAAAACGAATTCGAAATTAAGCTAAAAAATGTGATAAGATTCATGCTCAAAGGGAAAGAGAACTGTATTGTTGGAATTTTATGGTAATTGCAATTTCGTGTCTCTACCATTCATGTAACTATTTGAGCATGCCACTTTGGATTATCGACTTCTACTGGGTCTCTTCTGGGAATCATCCAAAAGACCCTCTCAAGATCCCCTTAGGAAACATAAATGCCCGTGCCCTAAGTGCTGTTTCATCCTGTTTAATCACTGCGCGAACGATCCTATAAATCGGAGACAGGTTTCCCTTTGAATTGCAGTTGACGTCGATCTTTGGCTATACTTACAGGCCTAATCATTGTAAAGGGTGTTTTTTTTAGAGGTATAGAACTTTAAATTGCAATAAAACAACGATGTATTATTCGATTGACATGAATTTTTTTTTATTCGAAAGATAATCTTGTGGCATTACATTTTAAATATGATCAAGCAAGGCGTAGATTCGTCGAATGGGCCCAAAACGAGATTGCCGTTGTTCCCGATTTTCATAAGCGAATTTTTATAAGCGACCTCGAGCAGAGGAAGATATTATAGTTCTCTGATTATAGTCATTCAATATTTAAATTTCAACATATGCAGGTAGTTATCAAAATAGTGGAAACATCTTATAAATCTAAGGTATTTCTACTATTTTGATAACTACCTGCATATGTTGCAATTTAAATATTATTAGCATGGTACCTACCCATACTAATAAAAGTGTTCTTTATTAATATGGTGTAGGTACCACTTTGGCATGTAATACAGTTTGAATTCGCCTAGGAATCGATTCAATGCAAGTGCTGAATAGTGTTTAGAGGAATATTGTGCCATTTTTACGGAGATATTGTGAAAGTTCTGGGAGAGATATCGGTAGAGAGTATCGATTCTTTATTGAACGCTCTAAAATATACCATAACGGTTCAATAATAGTGAGGTCGGGGGACTGTACGAGCCAAGGTAAAGAGTGTTTTTTTTCCAGGTATAGAAGTTTAAGTTGGCATTACTTTCCAAGATGGTGACCGATTTAACAGCTGTCAAGTGATTTATTCTCAGTTTGGTTTGGCAATTCATCAAAACGATCATCAAGAAAGGCATAGATTCGTCGAATAGGCCTAAAACGAGATTGCCGTTGTTCCCGATTTTTA